AGACCTGATTAGCAGGTATAGGTCAGCAATAGAAATAATTAGGAGCAAGGGTGGGAACCCTGTCATATGTGGTATTTTGCCAAGGAGAGAGAGTTGGAAATGAATGGTTGTCCAGGGCAATTGGTGTCAATTGCTGGCTGGACAAATACTGTAAGGAAAATGCGGTAACATTCATTGACAACTGGGACCTCTTCTATGGCAGAAATGACATGTATGCCAGGGATGGGGTTCACTTATCTAGGTCTGGGGTGGTAGCACTGGCAACTGCAGTGGATGGAGCAGTTAGGACTTTAAACTAGGAATAGTTAGTGGTATGGGTTTTGGCAGGAAAACAGTGAAGTCCCAGTGTAGTAATATTACGAGTTCTAGGGGAACTAGTAATAAGCAGAACGAGGTAGATATTGAAAAGCTAGGGACTTTGGGTGATAAGGACAGTAATAGGTTTAGTAGAAAAACAGAAATGAGCAGGAAGGGTAAAGAGAAAGGAGAGTCTTTCAATGTTTATTATGCTAATTGCCGTAGTGCTAGGAATAAGATGGACGAGTTGAGATTAGTTGCTAGTGCAGGTAACATTGATGTATTTGCCTTAACTGAGACGTGGTTTAATTCAAAAAGTCGGGACATGCCTGCGGAATGTCATATTCAGGGTTTTAAATTGTTCCAAGTAGACAGAAGTATCGGGAAGGGGGGTGGGGTGGCATTGTACGTCCGAGATCGCTTGAACTGTTGCATAAAAACGGGTATTAAGTCTGAAGTAACACATACAGTCTGCATAGAATTTTCAGAGGGGCATGAAAAACTGATTTTAGGAGTGATATACCGTCCCCCAAACTTAGATAGGGACCAAGGGAGACTACTATGGGAGGAAATCGTTAAGGCCACAAGGCACGATAATGTAGTAATTCTAGGAGACTTTAACTTTAGTCATATTGATTGGAATTTCTTGACTGGGAATTTAGAATCATACGACTTCTTAGAAGTAGTTCAGAATTGTTTTTTGAAGCAGTTTGTGACAGAACCTACAAGGGGAAATAACCTGCTTGACTTAGTTATGGCAAACAATGAATCCCTTGTTAATAATTTAGAAATTTCAGAGGAATTGGGTGCTAGCGACCACAAATCAATTACATTTAGCATTGAATGGAATTTACGATAGTAGTGAAAAACTCAGTAACAGTCCCAGATTTTCGCTTAGCAGATTACGATGGGCTTAGAGAACACTTATCATCTGTTGGCTGGGTTAACAAAGAGAGCTATCAATATGACAGTTTTCTGAACACTATACATGCTGCTCGAAGAACGTTTATCCCATATAAAGAAACTAGATCAAATAGAAATGACCCAAAATGGATTGAATAATAGGCTCAAATATCTACTAGGGCATAAGAAAGGAATTTATAGGCGTATAAAAAGAGGTGAGGGTCATCTTATGAATCAGTAAAATTGACATTAAGAGGGACATTAAAAAGGGGATAAGAAAAGCTAAAAGGGACTATGAAATTAAAGTTGCTAGGGATTCTAAAACTAACCCAAAAAGTTTTTTCCAGGTCTATAGAACAAAAGTTAGAGATAAGATAGGCCCCCTTAAAAATAACTATGGGCACCTTACTGCCCAAAGAGAATGAAATGTGCTCGATTTTTAATAATTATTTTCTCTCAGTTTTTAAAACAGGAAGACACTAACAATATTCCAGTAATTAATTTTTTATAGTGGGCTAGAAGAAGATAAATTAGTAACATCATAGTCACTAGTGAAATGGTTGTGAAGCAGATAGACAGACTGAAGCAAAATAAGTCGCCGGGTCCTGATGAGGTTTTTTCAAGGGTTCTTAAGGAATGCAAAAATGGAACTCTGTGAACCATTAACTAATATTTTTAATTTATCTCTTCAAACAGGTGTAGTGTCTGATATGTGGAAGATGGCTAATGTAATTCCTATTTTTAAAACAGGGGACAAGTCGTTACCGTCAAATTACCACCCAATAAGCCTGACCTCAATTGTAGGCAAATTACTAGAGTCAATTATAGCTCAGATTATAAGAAGCCATCTCGATAAGCATAGCTTGATTAATGATACTCAGCATGGATTCACAAGAGGCCGGTCTTGTCTAACTAATTTATTAACTTTCTTCAGTAAAGCTTTTGAGGCTGTTGACCACGATAAAGAATTTGATATTATTTACTTAGATTTTAGTAAGGCTTTTGATAGAGTTCTGCACCATAGACTGTTAAAGAAAGTGGCAGCTCATGGCATTGGGGGAAAAGTGCTCTCATGGATCGAGTCATGGCTCACTGACAGGAAGCAGAGTGTGTCCATAAATGGGGTTAAATCCGAGTGGGGATCTGTAACAAGTGGCGTTCCACAGGGATCAGTCTTGGGCCACAGAACTGTTTGCCATACTCCTTGCACTCAAATGTGTCCATGTATCTAAGGTTGACACTTTAATTGTAACTGATTCTCTGTCATCCATAAATGCTCTCAACTCATTAAGTATAAATTGTGGCATGCTTGTGTCAGAAGCCAGACATAGATATGGTAAGATTGTGGACAGTGGAGTCAGAGTGCACATGCTGTGGATTCCATCTCACATTGGTCTTCAGATGCATGATAGAACTGATAAATTGGCTAAGCTGTATGCTTTCAAAGAGGGGGTAGATTACAATCTTGGGTTGTCACTTAGCAGTTTGAGAACAATAATACGAAAAGAACTTCAAATGAACTTTATTGACTTAAGACTTAGGGAGATTGACACAAGTCAGTCCATCTATCATCATTCCATCATGCAGGAGGAGCCACATGTCTATGGTGCATCCAACAAAATAAGCAGACTCTTGGATGTCACTACTGCCCGGCTCCGGCTGGGTTACAAGTATCTTTGGCAGGTTAAATCACCACCACCAGATGTAGACCAAACGAAATGTAAACTTTGCCAGATGGATTATTGTCACACCTTGCGTCATTATGTACTGGAGTGTGATAAAATTAATGAATTTAGAAACAACTCACTCAGAAGTGTTCAAGAAATGGCTAAGTATTTTATCCACAGTGGTATATTGCAGACCATTCTGGAGAAATACCCTGACTTTGCTAGCTGTAAATAAAGCATTACCACATGTGTGCATGTGTGCATGTGTGCGTGCGTGTGTGTGTGTGTGTGTGTGTGTGTGTGTGTGTGTGTGTGTGTGTGTGTGTGTGTGTGTGTGTGTGTGTGTGTGTGTGTGTGTGTGTGTGTGTGTGTGTGTGTGTGTGTGTGTGTGTGTGTGTGTGTGTGTGTGTGTGTGTGTGTGTGTGTGTGTGTGTGTGTGGTGTGTGTGTGACTCAACAATCAATATTTGCACCAATAACTCATTACAGTTGTGACCGGGTGTGGAAGTGTGAATTGCTCATTACTCTATAATTTGTTCATGATTGTAGCCAAAGTATAAACGTAAGTAACCATTCTACAGAATTCATTACCTTTGTACCTAGTTCAGCTATCAAAACTTTGGGGGCCCAGTCCCTGGACCCATTACATACCTCTGTAATCTGTAAATACCTTTGTAACTTGTCATGATTGTGACCAGACTTACCTGGAGTTCATTACCTTTGTAAATTGTGAGTTCATTACCTTTGTAAATTGTGAGTTCATTACCTTTGTAAATTGTGAGTTCATTACCTCTGTAACTTGCTCAGCTGTCAAAACTTTGGAGTCCAGTCCCTGGACCAATTATGTACCTCTGTAATCTTTTGACTACCGCCCACAGGATGGGTATGGGGTGCATAATAAACATATTAAACTAAACTATTGGGCCCGTTGTTGTTTATAATATATATCAATGATCTTGATGAGGGAATTACTAGTGATATGAGCAAATTCGCCGATGACACAAAGATAGGTAGGATAATTGATTCAAACGTAGATGTTATGGAACTTCAGGAGGATTTAAACAAACTCTATTCTTGGTCAGAAAAGTGGCAGATGCAGTTCAATGTAGATAAATGCAAGGTTCTGAAGCTTGGGAGTGCCCATAACCCTAGTACTTATAAGTTAAATGATGTAGAACTTAGCCATACAGATTGCGAAAAGGACTTGGGGGTTATGGTGAGCAGCAACCTTAAACCAAGACAGCAATGCCTAAGCATACGTAATAAGGCAAATAGATTACTGGGATTTATATCAAGAAGTGTAAGCAACAGAAGTCCAGAGGTCATACTGCAGCTTTATACATCATTAGTAAGGCCTCACCTAGATTATGCAGCTCAGCTCTGGTCTCCATATTACAGAATGGACATAAATTCGTTAGAAAACATTCAGCGTAGGATGACTAAATTAATACATAGCATTAGAAATCTTCCTTATGAAGAAAGATTGAAGACTCTTAAGTTACATTCACTTGTTAGACGAAGAATGAGGGGAGACCTGATCGAAGTGTATAAGTGGAAGATAGGTATTAATAAAGGGGATATTAATAAGGTCTTGAGGATGTCTCTCCAGAGAGAGAACCCGCAGTAATGGATTTAAATTAGATAAGTTTAGATTTAGAAAGGACATAGGAAAGTATTGGTTTGGAAATAGGGTAGTTGATGAGTGGAACAGTCTACCTAGTTGGGTTATTGAGGCTGGGACTTTGGGTAGTTTCAAATTTAGGTTGGATAAGTACATGAGTGGGAGGGGTTGAATTTGAGTGGGACTTTCACATCAGAGCTTATTTCTTGGGTGGCATTGAAAATTGGGTTGGGCAAATGTTTTGTTAGTGGGATGAATTGTAAAGGACCTGCCTAGTATGGGCCAACAGGCCTCCTGCAGTGTTCCTCCTTTCTTATGTTCTTATGTTCTTATATACACCTGGAAAATCCTAGGGGAACTAGTACCAAACTTGCACACGAAAATCACTCTCTATGAAAGCAAAAGACTCGGCAGACGATGCAACATCTCCCCAATGAAAAGCAGGGGTGTCACTAGAATGTTAAGAGACAACACAATAAGTGTCAGGGGCCCAAGACTGTTCAACTGCCTCCCAGCATACATAAGGGGGATTACCAATAGACCCCTGGCTGTCTTCAAGCAGGCACTGGACAAGCACCTGAAGTCAGTACCTGACCAGCCAGGTTGTGGCTCATACGTTGGATTGCATGCAGCCAGCAGTAACAGCCTGGTTGATCAGGCCCTGATCCACCATGAGGCCTGGTCACAGATTGGGCCACAGGGGCATTGACCCCTGGAACTCTCTCCAGGTAAACTCACCTTGTCCTGCTCGTCCTGTAGTCTGGTCTTCCAGTCGTGCTCACGAGCATTGAGTCGTTGTAGTGCTGCGTCTTGCTGGCTCTCCAGTGCTGTTCGTAACTTACCAATCTCACGCTCCAGCTCTTCAACCTGCAACTTAAAAACAAACTTTTACAAACTTACACAAACCACCACCTCAAATTTTCCTGTATGAAATATTTCCTGAATGTGACATATTTCCAGTATGTGTATGATGTATTTCCTGTTTGTGTATGATAAATTTCCAGTATGTGTATATTTCCTGAATGTGTATGATATATTTCCTGTATGTGTATGAAATATTTCCTGTATGTGTATGATATTTTCCAGTATATTTCCTGTATGTGCATACATTTCCTGTATGTGTGTATTTCCTGTATGTGTGTATTTCCTGTATGTGTATGATATATTTCCAGTAAGTGTATATTTCCTATATGTGTATGATATATTCCAGTATGTGTATATTTCCTGTATGTGTACATATTTCCTGTATGTGTATGGTATACAGTAGACCCTTGCCTAATGATATTAATCCATTCCTGAGAGCTCATCGTTAGCCGAAATTATCGTTAGCCGAGTTAATTTTCCCCATAAGAAATAATGGAAATCCAATTAATCCGTTCCAGACAGGCAAAAGTATTAAAAAAAAAAAAATCATGAAATATACATTTCCCTACAAAGAAAACAATAAGACATGCACAAAAACTACATAAATAAATGTTAAAATAACACTTACCTTTATTGAAGAGTACTGATGAGTGATGCGACACTGCTTTTCTTGAACACTCTGGGATTTTCAGAGTGATACACCAGTAAAGGCTTCACTTTGCAATCCCCACTAGCATTACAAAACATGAGAGTTAGCCTGTGTTTCACAGGCTTGTGTCCTGGGAGTGCCTTTTCCTCCTGAGTAATGTATGTCCTGTTTGGCATTTTCTTCCAGAACAGGCCTGTTTCGTCACAATTGAACACTTGTTGGGGAATGAATTTTTCAGCTTCGCCACGCCTTATTGCACTGTGTATGCCACTACAATTTTAATCTTCAAACCAATGTTGCTGCCTAAATTCACCATATGAGCAAGTTCCAGATTTTTTCTGTCATCTGTGTTGTTGACTGTTGTGGTCGCATCCTGGGGGACAAGATTAAGGACCCCAATGGAAATAAGTTACAGTCCTCGATGATGCACTGGCTTTCTTGGGTTATCCTGGGTGGCTAACCCTCTGGGGTTAATCGTTTCTCGGTAACTGTTTCACGTTAAGCCACACCAACAACACTCTCTCCCATCTTTGAGTAGTACAGCTGATGGTGGTGGAGCAACAGCTGACTGTGGTGCAGTAACAGTTGACCTTCATGCAGCAACAGCTGACTGTGGTGCAGCAACAGCTGACTGTGGTGCAGCAACAGCTGACTGTGGTGCAGCAACAGCTGATGGTGGTGCAGCAACAGCTGATGGTGGTGCAGCACAGCTGATGGTGGTGCGCAACGCTGACTTGGTGCAGCAACAGCTAACTGTGGTGCAGCAACAGTGACTGTGGTGCAGCAACAGCTGACTGCTGGTTGCAGCAACAGCTGACGGTGGTGCAGCAACAGCTGATGGTGGTGCAGCAGACAGATGAGGTCGATAGTTTTCATACTGTGTTTACCCAGGGTTGGCACTAGAAGCTTTCTGGGCCCATGGTGGCTTATTTAGTAGTTCAAGCACTTAAACAATGGATAATACAAAATGTATCGAATGTATGCATGCAACCAGCACCGGATTGAACAATACGGCAGTGCTGGATGGACAGGTTCGGGACGATCATGTTGGTCAGAAACAGCTGACGTGGTGCAGCACAGCTGACTGGGCAGCAGCAGCTGACCGGGTTTTCAGCAGCACTGACCATTTTGGGGCAGCAGCAGCTGATTTATCCAACAACAGCTGACTGGCCAGCAACAGTTGACTGGCCCCGCAAAAGCTGACCATGGTGCAGGCAACACAGCTGACTGGTCCAACAACAGCTGATCTTGGTGCAGCAACTGCTGACTGGTCCAGCAACAGCTGACCATGGTGCAGCAACAGCTGACTGGTCCAGCAACAGCTGACGGTAGTGCAGCAGCAGCTGACTGTGGTATGATAGTATTTCTCACCCTTTTTACCACAGGGTTGGCATTAGAAGCTTTCTTTGGGCCCATGGTGGCTTATTTAGCAGTTACAAGCACTATAAACAATGGAATAATACAAAATGTATCGAATGTATGCATGCAACCGGCCACCCTGGCTTGTAAACAATGAAGGCAAGGCAGCAGAAGCGCTCAGGCTGGACGGACAGTTTGGGAGGAATCACGTTGGGCGAGTTTTTTATCGTTAAGCGGGCCCAAATTTTTACACTCAAACGCTTCATTAGGTGGATTTAACATTATGCGATGCGTTCGTTAGGCGAGGGTCCACTGTATTTCCTTTATGTGTATATTTCCTGTATAATTTCTGTCTGAATATATTTCCTGTGTATGATTTATTTCCCGTGCATGATTTATTTCCTGTATGAGTATATTTCCTGTGTGTGTGATTTCCTTTATGTGTATATTTCCAGTATGTGTATGATATATTTCTTTGAAATATTCCTATATGTATATGACAGAGGATAAGTAAATGGTGTAAGTCATTGTTACTGTAAGTCACAAGATGCATCTCATCACAATACTCTCATCCAGAAAAAAAAAGAAGCACATTTGTCAGCATAGTTGCTGATCCCCTGTATATGTATAGCTTATCTGAGTATCATAGTTAGTACCATCCATATGTTTTACATACACGACCCCTTTGCTAGGCCTAGTGACTAGTTTGTATGACATCACATGATGCCGCACGAGTGCGTGGGACACGCTGCATCGGCCTCAGGCAAGACACAGCAGTTTGGGCTCTCCCCCTCCATACTCTGCTAATATAAGTGTTACCATCCAACAAGTGTGTTTAACTCCAACCATCATATCTCGTACGAACCCCCACTACACATTCACCATCATTCATTCAATCACTGTCCTCCCAGATGTATGCAGTATAATACAACATTTATCAGTAAATACCATATACAGGTAAATCATCACTATTTCTTGAAGCTAAGATGACTGAATGCGCTGTTGTACAGGTGTTGAGTGACCAGACAGGTGTTTTGTCAAACATGTATTAAGGTGTACAGGTGTTAAGTAGCTGTACAGGTGACAAGTAGTCATATAAGTGACAAGTAGTCATATAAGTGACAAGTAGTCATACAGGTGTTAAGTGGTTGTGCAGGTATAAAGCAGTTGTACAGGTATAAAGTTGTTGTACAGGTGTAAAGTACTGAATGGTATACAGATATAATAATAAACAAGAATGCTGTACATATGTGAAGTTCCTTGATGTTGGTGAGGGGCTCTTGATTTAGGGAATTGGATCTGTGCTCCAGTTCCCCGAATTAAGCCTGAATGCCTTCCACATCCCCTCCCAGGTGACTGTATAATCCTCCGGGTTTAGCGCTTCCCCCTTGATTATATTAATAATGTACATATGTGAAGATGACATCAATCATCAACATTATTAGAGACAAGAGCAGTAGCAGCAGCAGCGCAGTAAACACATACCCGATCGTGTCCGTCCGTCGTTCCTTCATGTTGTGTTGGTGACAGCGGCGGTGAACCTATGGTGGAGCCAAGGGTCTGCAGCGACGCCGTCGAGGCCTGGCGTGAGTGCCGGGATCTCGGGGTGAGGGTGCCAGGAGTGTGTTGTGATGAGCGTTGACGCGAGCCGCCCACCGATGCCAGGGCTTGGGGTGATGCCAGCTTCTTCAAGTCCGTGGCATCACCGATCTTGCTCTTCAAATTCATGAACATCTTTGAGGCCGTCTAGCTGCATAAAAAAAAAAGACAGGTTTTTAATTTCAGATTTTAAGAATAAAAAACTGACTATAATTTATAAATGTCCACTAAGACCTTATGATTATTATTATTATTACTTGGTAATAATTAAAAATAATTTAAGTATTAATAATAAAAATATAAAAAAAGATGTAATAATACTTTAATAATAACAGTAATATTAAAAATATTTTTACATTATTATTTATGATCATTACTTATTTTTTGCAAGGAGGGAAGAGTATATGGAGAAAAAGAGAGAGGTTAAGAGAGTGGTGAAGCAATGTAAAAAGAGAGCAAATGAGAGAGTGGGTGAGATGTTATCAACAAATTTTGTTGAAAATAAGAAAAAGTTTTGGAGTGAGATTAACAAGTTAAGGAAGCCTAGAGATCAAATGGATTTGTCAGTTAAAAATAGGAGAGGAGAGTTATTAAATGGAGAGTTAGAGGTATTGGGAAGATGGAGGGAATATTTTGAGGAATTGTTAAATGTTGATGAAGATAGGGAAGCTGTGATTTCGTGTACAGGGCAAGGAAGAATAACATCTTGTAGGAGTGAGGAAGAGCCAGTTGTGAGTGTGGGGGAAGTTCATGAGGCAGTAGGTAAAATGAAAGGGGGTAAGGCAGCCGGGATTGATGGGATAAAGATAGAAATGGTAAAAGCAGGTGGGGATATAGTTTTGGAGTGGTTGGTGCAATTACAGTGGACCCCCGCATAACGATGGCCTTACATAACGTTAAATCCGCATACCGATACATTTTATCGCTAAGATTTTGCCTCGCATACCGCTAAAAAACCCGCTCAACGCTGTTCGTCCGAGACGCGTCTAATGTGCGGCCTTAGCCAGCCTCACATGTTCCGCCGGTGGCATTGTTTACCAGCCAGCCTCCGCCGTAACATCCAAGCATACAATCGGAACATTTCGTATTATTACAGTGTTTCTGGTGATTTTATCTGCAAATAAGTGACCATGGGCCCCAAGAAAGCTTCTAGTGCCAACCCTACAGGAATAAGGGTGAGAATTACAATAGAGATGAAGAAAGAGATCATTGATAAGTATGAAAGTGGAGTGCGTGTCTCCGAGCTGGCCAGGTTGTATAGTAAACCCCAATCAACCATCGCTACTATTGTGGGCAACAAAAAGGCAATCAAGGAAGCTGTTCTTGCCAAAGGTTTAACTGTGTTTTCGAAACAGAGATCGCAAGTGATGGAAGATGTTGAGAGACTGTTATTGGTGTGGATAAATGAGAAACAGATAGCAGGAGATAGCATCTCTCAAGTGATCATAAGTGAAAAGGCTAGGAAGTTGCATGAGGATTTAATTAAAAAAATGCCTGCAACTAGTGATGATGTGAGTGAATTTAAGGCCAGCAAAGGTTGGTTTGAGAGATTTAAGAGGCGTAGTGGCATACATAGTGTGATAAGGCATGGTGAGGCTGCCAGTTCGGACCACAAAGCAGCTGAAAAATATGTGCAGGAATTCAAGGAGTACATAGAAACTGAAGGACTGAAACCTGAACAAGTGTTTAATTGTGATGAAACAGGCCTGTTTTGGAAGAAAATGCCAAGCAGGACCTACATTACTCAGGAGGAAAAGGCACACCCCAGGACATAAGCCTATGAAAGTACAGGCTTACTCTGTTGATGTGTTCCAATGCTACTGGTGATTGCAAAGTGAAGCCTTTATTAGTGTATCACTCTGAAACTCCCAGACCGTTCAGGCAAAAGAATGTCCTCAAGGAAAATTTGTGTGTGCTGTGGAGGGCAAACAGTAAGGCATGGGTCACTAGGACTTTTTTCTATGACTGGTTACACCATGCATTTGCCCCCAATGTGAAAGATTAGCTAACTGAAAAAGAAATTAGAACTTAAGTGCCTCCTGGTGTTAGACAATGCCCCTGGTCATCCTACAGACGTGGCAGAGCGACTTTATGGGACATGAAATTCATTAAGGTCAAGTTTTTGCCTCCTAATACCACTCCTCTCCTGCAGCCCATGGACCAGCAGGTTATTGCAAACTTCAAAAAAACTGTACACAAAAGCTCTGTTTGAAAGGTGCTTTGTAGTGACCTCAGAAAACTCAACTGACTCTAAGAGAGTTTGGAGAGATCACTTTAATATCCTCAATTGTGTAAACCTTATAGGTAAGGCTTGGGAGGGAGTGACTAAGAGGACCTTGAACTCTGCTTGGAAGAAACTGTGGCCAGAATGTGTAAACCAAAGGGATTTTAGAAGGGTTTCAGGCTAACCCTGAGAATCCTATGCCAGTTGAGGAATCCATTATGGCATTGGGAAAGTCCTTGGGGTTGGAGGTTAGTGGGGATGATGTGGAAGAGTTTGGTGGAGGAGGACAATGAAGAACTAACCACTGATGAGCTGATAGATCAGCTTCAACAGCAAGAGGCCAGACCTGAGGAAACTGGTTCGAAGGAGGGGAGAGAGAAATTGAAGAAATTGCCTACTACAAAGATTAAGGAAATCTGTGCAAAGCGGCTTGAAGTGCAAACCTTCATGGATGAAAATCACCCTCACACAGCTATTGCAAGCCGTGCTGGTGACTATTACACTGACAATGTTGTGAAACACTTTAGGGAAGTCATAAAGGAACGAGAGGTACAGGCCACTATGGACAGATATGTTGTGCGAAAAAAAACTCCAGTGACTCTGAAGCTGGTCCTAGTGGAATTAAAAGAAGAAGGAAGTAACCCCAGAAAAGGACTTGACACCTCAAGTCTTTAAGGGAAGGGGATTACCCTTCTAAACACTAACACTCTCTCCTCCTCCCATCCCATCAATCATCACCAGATCTTCAATAAAAGTAAGTGTCATGTAATTGTGCATCCCTTTTTTTCAGTTTGTGTGTATTAAAATTAATATTTCATGTGGTAAAATTTTTTTTTTTTCATACTTTGGGGTGTCTTGCACGGATTAATTTGATTTCCAATTATTTCTTATGGGGAAAATTCATTCGCATAACGATAATTTTTCGCATAACAATGAGCCCTCTTGCACGATTAATATCGCTATGCGGGGGTCCACTGTATTTAATAAATGTATGGAAGAGGGTAAGGTACCTAGGGATTGGTAGAGAGCATGCATATTCCCCTTTGTATAAAGGCAAAGGGGGACAAAAGAGAGGGGCAAAAATTAAGGGGGATAAGTCTGTTGAGTATACCTGGTAAAGTGTATGGTAAGTTATTATTCAAAGAATTAAAGTAAGACGAAAAATAGGATAGCAGATGAACAAGGAGGCTTGGGAAAGATAGGGGGTGTGTGGACCAGGTGTTTACAGTGAAACATAAAAGTGAACAGTATTTAGATAAGGCTAAAGAGCTTTGTGGCATTTATGGATTTGGAAAAGGCGTATGACATGGTGGATAGGGAGGCAATGTGGCAGATGTTTGCAGGTGTATGGTGTAGGAAAATGGGTTTTACTGAAAGCAGGAAGAGTTTTACGAGGATAGTGAGGCTCAAGTTAGAGAAATGTAGGAAAAGGGAAATTTTTTCCCCCAGTAAAAGTAGGCCTTAGACAAGGATGTGTGATGTCACCGTGGTTGTTTAATATATTTATAGATGGGGTTGAAAGAGAAGTAAATGTGAGGGTCTTGGAAAGAGGTGTGGATTTAAAAGATAAAGAATCACACAAAGTGGAGTTGTCACAGTTGCCCCTTTGCTGATGACACTGTGCTCTTGGAGATTCTGAAGAGAAGCTGCAGAGGTTGGTGGATGAATTTGGTAGGGTGTGCAAAAGAAGAAAATTAAAAGTGAATACAGGAAAGAGTAAGGTTTTGAGGATAACAAAAAGATTAGGTGATGAAAGACTGGATATCAGATTAGAGGGAGAGAGTATGGAGGAGGTGAATGTATTCAGATATTTGGGAGTGGACGTGTCAGCGGATTTGGGGGCTATGAAAGATGAGTGAATCATAGAATTGATGAGGGGAAAAGGGTTTAGTGGTGCACTTAGGAGTCTGTGGAGACAAAGAACTTTGTCCTTGGAGGCAAAGAGGGGAATGTATGAGAGTAAGTTTTACCAACGCTCTTATATGGGTGTGAAGCATGGGTGATGAATGTTGCGCGAGGAGAAGGCTGGAGGCAGGGAGATGTCATGTCTGAGGGCAATGTGTGGTGTGAATATAAATGCAGAGAATTCGTAGTTTGGAAGTTTAAGAGGAGGTGCGGGATTACCAAAACTGTTTTTCCACAGGGCTGAGGAAGGGTTGTTGAGGTGGTTTGGACATGTAGAGAGAAAGGAGCAAAACAGAGTGACTTCAAGAGTGTATCAGTCTGTAGTGAAGGAGGAAGGAAGGCGGGGTAGGGGTCGGCCTAGGAAAGGTTGGAGGGAGGGGGTAAAGGAGGTTTTGTGTGCAAGGGGCTTGGACTTCCAGCAGGCATGCGTGAGCGTGTTTGATAGGAGTGAATGGAGACAAATGGTTTTTAATACTTGACGTGCTGTTGGAGTATGAGCAAAGTAACATTTATGAAGGGGTTCAGGGAAACCGGCAGGCCGGACTTGAGTCCTGGAGATGGGAAGTACAGTGCCTGCACTCTGGAGGGGTGTTAATGTTGCAGTTTAAAAACTGTAGTGTAAAGCACCCTTCTGGCAAGACAGTGATGGAGTGAATGATGGTGAAAGTTTTTCTTTTTCGGGCCACCCTGCCTTGGTGGGAATAGGCCAGTGTGATAATAAAAAAAAAAAAAATACTTATTTTTTTTAATATTTATTACTATTATTAATACATATTACAGCTTCTCCTCAATTAGCAACATACTCACTTACCGATGACTTGAACTTACGACGGGCTCTCTGACCAATATGCATACCTAAATGATGTATATTAGAGCTTATTTCCTCTATTCTGTTTATTACAATATACAGTACACTACTGTATAAACATTTAAAAATGTACTAAAAACGTTGTAAATGATGCAAAAGCGACAACAAAACATCAAAGATGGTTGACACAAGCCCACTACCATTATAGTATGCT